CCAATCCAAGTCCATTTCGATACCTAACTAAAGTCCCAAAGTTGGAAGCTCAAATCTGGAAATTTATTCACCAGTTTGAATTTTTCCCAAACTTCGGGCTACCGTATCTCGGTGCTCGAAACTACGATCCTTGATCCGCTTTTTCTGATATAAACCTTACTTGCAACTCTAATTGAATTACGAATTTCAGAGGCTAGCTTGCAACGTATGAATTTTGCCGAATTTCCAAAGTTAGCGAAAAACCAACCCCGGCTCAATTCTGAGTGTTCTGGAACAGCAACTTTAAGCCCATTTTTGAATACCTTCCACTTAGATTCATGGAAAAGTGTCTTCTAAGAACTTTTAGTACTTTCAAAGAGGTTTCCAACGGTACCAATTTTTCCAATTTTTGATATGTAGAATGTGAGATACGATGTTTCAAAATATCGTATCAAAACTGAAAATTTTCCGAATTCCAAAGGAAGGGAGTTTTCAAGCACTCCTTATTCCTTCGATATTACTTGAACGTGTTATACTTGATTTTTCAAAATGAAAACTCGATCGCTCTTGTATTTTATGAAACTCTAATTGAACCTCGATTTACGAGTAATTGAGGTTCGATTTCATGAAATTTCCTTAGATTGTACTAGTGTACAATCTTCCTTGATAATTGGGATATATGAGTGATGCTTCACTATTATTTGCTCAGGCGCACATGAGGACCCTGAAGAGGATCCCACGGTGGACGCTTAAACTTCGAGTGCCCTTTTCTTCTCGTTTTACTTGGTGAGTGTCAAGTGTGTGTTACTTGAACTCCTGTGAATTCGATACATGATTACTTGTTATTGATACTTGAGATTTTGGGAAAAGAAGTCGAGTGTGTACTTTATCGCACTCGTTCTCATTCAAAATGATTTAACTCATGCTCAAATTGTTTGAATATATCGATTGCTTGGATACATCGATTGCTTGTACATATCAATGCTTGATACATGATATGGTATGCTATGGCTGCATACGTCGTTGGAGTGAATCTCCTCGACACACAATTGCACATGGGGACGCCCACATCTCATTGGCCGACCTTGGACTCGAGCCGACATAGGCTTGGTCGGGAACCTTGGCGAGCCATGAGATATATAAGCTTGACCTAATGATAGGTCTTGCTTGGCATACTCGAGTAGTATCACCACAAACAAATGACAGGCGGGCCCGATACAGGGGTATGTAAGGTGAAAGGGGACAGGTTAAGTGGAATTCTACGGACAAAACCTACCCGATTGACGGAGTGTCAATTCGTGGAGGTTATTGATCGTGCAAGTGGAATATAGCTCCTGAGAGCTCCTATATCCTTGAATTGTTTCCGTTTACTTTCCGGTAAATTGTTAATTATTGAAACATATTATTGCTTGGCTTGTAATTAGGATTGTTACTTGAACTACGTGCTTGCATGTGTGTCCTTGACCTCATGAGCGTTTTGCTCACCCTGTAGATTTGTTTTCCTTAACAGGTTTGAACTCGGAGGTGTACTGGAGAAACCCTCCTAATGTGCTTTTGTTTAGGATTTCTATTATATTTTAGCTATGCCCTTGGTTTTGAGTTGTACTTTTGGAATTGAAAATGTAACTTTTGGGGCGTGATGTATATTTGGCAATCATGATATACTTTGAACACCCGGCGTGCGGGTTGGATAATGGATGGCTATTGTTAAGTTTGAACGCTTCCGCATTTACTGTATTTAAGTTATTTACTTGTGTTGTGTAGATCGATAATAAGGTTGAATGGAATTGCTTGAGTCCTGGCGAGAGATAGGTTGGTGTCCCGCGGATACCCTTTGGTTCGCCTTAGGGAGAAGTGGGGGCATCACACACTAAAACTTATCTTTCAAGTTTTGTCTTTTTCAAGTATTATTTTGATGTTTTGTCATACATGTATGAAGATACACCTATATATATATATATATATATATATATATATATTCAATTTTGTTATGAAAATTAGGAAGATTCATGTTTCGTTAGGAAAACAAATTCATCTTAGGGTTAGATTACATAATTAGTAAAAGTTGCCTTGCTTAAGAAAAATTTATGTTACATCGTTGCTGAAGCTTCAAGCTTCAACACAAAAAGAAATGGTGGTTGAAGAAGAGTCAGTTGACCCTCCCCCTACTTTTAGGCCACCGCAAACACCAGCAATGTCAACCAAAAGAAAAGGCCGGCCAAAGAGAACAAGCAGCCGCTGCTGCTTGTTGCTACTGCTGCTGACGCAACATGACAAGGAGGCTGGCGGTTGAAGCAATGAGGGAAAAAACAGCGAGAACGATGACACTAATGATGGTGAAGTTATTTGGAAGTTAGGGTTTTGAAAAAAAAAATTTGTGTTGAGAAAATGGAGGAAGAGGAAGACCCATTTGTGTAGTTGGGTCAAGAACTGGGTTGGATAAGGTGAACTGGGTAGGGTAGTTAGAAATGGATTTAGGTTGGTTTATTCCTTTTCGGGTCGGGTATGGAGGAAATAGAATTGGATCAAACAATTATGGGTTTTGTTTAAGTTGGATATTCGAGATTAAAGTAGTATTGGCTAAGACTAGAAGACAATAAAGAAATGTTTGGGCTAAATGATCTTGGGCCAACACCAACCATTGCAAAAAAAAAAAAATAATTTTACAAAGTCTAATTGGGCCGGAAATATATTATAAGCCTAGTAAATTTTCAATTAATTAATCCCACGTATAAGGTTAATCCATCTTTTGTGGATTATCATGGTTATTAAACATCAAAGCCCAACATAATTTAGCGTTGGGCTATAAATTAAGTTATTAATGCTTATGCTTAATTAGTTACATCTGAGGTACCAAAATAGAAGTATAAAACATATTACCTAATATTATTAGGAAAACTTTATGAAGAGTAAAATAAGTCTTAGATATTTAAACAAACTTTTAACATAAATTAAAAACAATAATGGTAGTAAAAATAAATAAAATAGAAAAAAATGTATGTATATACATATATGAATAATGAAATAAGAGCATCAATGGAAATGAAATAAATAAAATAAAATATAAATAAATAAATATACATATATAAAAATAGAAATAAAAAATGTAAATAAATAAAATATATATAAATAAAATAAGAAAAAATAATATATATAAATGAAAATAATAACATAATGATAATCAAGATAATAAAAATAAAATAATAAGGATAATAATAATCAAATAATAACAGTCAAGATAATAAAAATAATCAAGATAATAGTAATAAAATTGAAATAAGTATGATTATTTCTAAATTAGGAAACTTTATAAAAGAAGAGGAACTTTCCGATAAGAAACTTTCCAAAAATAGAAACTTCCATTTTAGGAAATGTACTTATACTTTATATAGTTGTTCATACATGAATTTTAGGGTTATCAGAATGTTATATATATAAGAAATATTACTAATTACGATATTCATGTATTTGATAGGTATGATACAAGTTTAAAAAGTCCTATGGTAATTCCACTTCAGCAATCAGTCAAAAGTAAGTGGTGCTTACCTCTCTAGGTTTTCAAATATTGAAGTGAAATTTTTCTTAAAGGCAAGTTTTATTTTGTTATATGAAGATGGATCATGTAATGTTTTGACAAGCGATAAATTACAATTTGAGTGGCATGTTTTATGAAACGAAAGAAAAGTGCATGTGATATAAGAATTTATGATGAGAAAAACTCTTAACAGTCAAGAAATAGACGGTAGGGACTATAGTCCTGCCATGTTATGTTATGTTAGTCATGAGGTCAATATAGAGTCCGGCCAATTGACTTATATTACGTGATCAAGCACTAACCATGAAACCTCTCGGTTACCCTTCTAGAAGAGGTTTAATCTCTAAAGTGAGTACTCAAAAGCATAGTTATTAAAACCAACCCGGACATCAACCCGGCAAGAGGACGGGGTTGATGGGTTAGTGGTTCAACCGGTGGGTCACTGGTTGAACCGTTGGGTCACAATATATAATAAAAATATATATAATATAATTAAATAAACATGTAAATTATAATACAAGTACAGAAATTCTTAAATCTCAACAAGTTATAACCTGTTCATAGTTCATAGTTCATAATTCATTTCACACACATAATCCATAACCATATGTGATCAACAATTCATGAATTCAAACTAAAATCAGTAAATTACACACAAATATAAATGATAAATATAAGTATCAAACCATGAAACATAAGTCATAAACGACCAATTCAATACAACCAAACATAAAGTCATGAACATAAACAACACCACAATTATCACTTGAGTAGTTCACTCCATCTATTATTCATGCCCATGGTTCCCAACTTCTGCCAAATTCAGTACCACCAAGTTCATTTACATCACAACCCACATTAAGATCATTTCTTTCAACATTCTCTTCATTATTGGTCTCATCTTCATCTCCAGTGTCCAAATCATCCAAATTTAGAGTTTCATCTACATAAATACAAAAATCAATGAATCATTCACTAAATTTGGATAATATTTACCCAAAAACGAAAAACAAAGAATAAGCAAGCATATGGCTCAAATAGAATAACTCACCACTTTGTCGGCTGATAGCAAATGTAGCTATTTCATTCCTAAAGCTTTCTAATTCAATTGGAGTTAATTGTGAAGGTTCATCATCCAAAATCCAAGTTTCATTGGCGTTGAAGTCCTCAAAATCAATAGGATCATAATTTCTACCCCTTGCATTTCTAATAATACAAAACATTAAAACTAGCTAACTAACAAATGTCATCATATTAAAACAAAAATCTGATTGCAAAATGTAGTTTACCTTTGTTGTAGTCTTAAATTGTAGTGTACATAAACCAAATCATTTAGTCTTTGATGCTCCAATCTATTTCTCTTCTTTGAGTGGATATGCTCAAATAAACTCCAATTCCTTTCACAACCAGAAGCACTGCAAGTTTGGCTTAGAACACATATAGCTAGTTTTTGCAAATTAGGTGCAGTGCTACCATAACATGTCCATCATTCATCTATTGCAATAAATAAAGGAAAAAAGTCAGATTATAATATTTTACAATTAAAATCAAATCATCAATAAAAATGAAGCTAATTTTTGGGTACCTGGAAGCATGACATCACGATCTCGTATAGCAGAGACTCTACCAAAATCACCTTCAGCTTTACGAAATAATCTCATCTCTTCGGTCAAATTACTCATCAAATCAGGATTTGCATAAGAATATCTCTCAATCACATCCAAAAGTCCTGATGTTGCATGCCTGTGCTTTTCCAAATCAAGAGAATTATATTGATAAGCAAGATTGAGCCAATAACCGGCAGCATGAAGATTTTTGTGAAGCTGACTATCCCATCTTGAATCAATTATTCTTAAGTAAGGATCAACTGTTTTCTTTTTTCTTGTGAATCTCCTCAAAAGCTCTTCTCTGGCTCTATGCATGGCAGCATACAAGTATCCCATAGCAGGCCTTTCATCACTATCAACAATTCTTAGAACTCGAACAAGAGGCTCAGTTAATTGAACTATTGTAGCACATTCTTTCCAAAATATAGAATCTAGCACAAGATCCACAAATTTTTTTGCTTTACTCTCCTTAGCATATGCTGAAAGAGTCCATTCTTTTGAAGTCACTATAGCTCTTAAAGCATCTTTTTGCACTAAAATACTTTGCTATGCAATGAAATTAGTAGCAAAACGTGTAGGAGCAGGCCGAATAATTTCTTTTCCACCAGTGTGTTTTCTCATCAAATGCAATGGATAACAATGATTATAAATGTATTTTGTAATTTTTGAAGCATGTCCAACCACTTTACTAACCTCATCTAACTTGCCCATATCATGTAGCATCAAATTTAGACAATGAGCAGCACATGGAGACCAATAAAGTGTTGGAAATTCCCTTTCTAATAATCTTCCAGCAACAACATAATTGGCAGCATTGTCAGTGACGAAGTGTACCACGTTTTGCACCCCAACAAATAAAACCACTTCTCTAAACAGCTTATACAACATCTCTGCAGTCTTAGAAGCATCTGAGGCATCAACTGATTTTAAAAAAATAGTTCCTGTAGACACCAAATTTTTAAATAATTTGTATGTTGCATCTAATTCATGATTTTGTTTTAGATTATCTGCATTTTAGTTGTTACCTTTTTATTTGTCTTTTATTTGCTAATTATTTGTCATATTAATTTTGTTCACGTTTTAGTCTTAGTTTTAGTTTTAAGTTTTAACGTAAAATTTGTGAAAAAAAAAAGGAAAGAAAAGAGGAAATTGATGAAAAATGAAAAATTGTGCTTTTGTGGATTCTAGTTTATTTAGATTTAGTTTCTATCCAATGTTAATTAAATTTTTTTTTTTTTGTTGTTTTTGTTGTTTGTTATCTATTTTTATTATCAGTTTTATTTAATTAATTAAAAAAAAAATCAAAAAAATCAAAAAAATCACAATTCTATTTCTGCCGAATCCATTTCCACTTCACATTCTAGTATTTTCTATCCTTAGTGCCGGTTTATTTCTCCACTATCACACACCATTATATTAACTACTAATCACCACAACACTTCCGATACAATGGCTCATTACACATTTCCATTTCTGCCGAAGTGCAATTTTTTTCCTCTACACATATACTCAACCTCCACTACCGCAAATGACTTCATTATTCCAGCCTCTACCACAACTACTCGACACCATTTTTCCTCACCTCGTGATCATCGACCGAGAGTGAAGAGAAAAGCTTGAGCTGCACCATATAGCCGAGAGTGAGGGAGGAAGTTGAGAGCTGAAAATTCCAATTCTGGTGCTGTCCGCGAACTGCATCACACTTTGTCCCTGTCCTGTCCGTAAGCTGAGGGAGAAACCAAAGAACCATCTCCACCGACAACCACAGCCACACCAACCCAAAACAGAAAACCTGTCGCGTGCTTGTGAGCCGAGAGGAGGAAAACATTTTCCAGATTTTCGTGTGAAAGCTTGACTAGTTGTGAGGTAATTTATGGATCATTTTTAGGATAAATCTGAGGTAATTTGAGTTATCTAGTAACATGCATGTGATGTTAGAGCAGTCGGATGTTGAATTGAATCATTAGAAAATTCTGTTTTGAATATTGAGGTACCATCCGAAAGCTGAGATGATAATGCACTCTATTTCTGAATTCCTGTGATGACTTGAGCACTTAAGTGGATTTAGCCAAATGAAAATGTGATGATTTCCACCATGCATGTTGATTTGTACCTTCGGATGGCATAGTGAAAGCCTGCAGAAATTCTGGTTAGATATAAAGCTCCTGCCGTGAGCTTGATGCACTTGTTTTATTTTGGCTGCTGAATGGGTCTGAATTTGGACAATCTGAGCATGAAAGATGTTTATCTAACTGGATTTTGGATGATTATCAGGATTAGAGTCTTGCATGTGTTAAATTTCGCAATCAAATGGTGAAAACAAAGCTGTGGAAAATTCTGTCTTGGCTAGAAAATTTTGCCGTGAGCTTGCTTGGAGTAGTGCAGCTTAAATTGGTTTTGATTTTTGTAATTTGGGCTTATAATCATAAATATGCAGCTAATAATGAGTACTTAGGCCCTGCATGTAGCCAATCAGTTTGATAAAACAGAGGAATAAAAATTCAAAAGTGCAATCTGCCTTAAGGCAAGATCATCCGGACCAAACAGAAAAATTTCTGGAAATTTTGATGGTTATGGATATTATTTGAACTTGATTTCTGAGCTGGAAATATTCATATGCTAGCTTGATACGTGCATAAGGAATTTAAGAGTTTATAAGCATGTCCAAACCAGAAAATGAAATGAAAATAGAAAGCTCTTAACACAATGATTCAACCGAGGTAAATTCGGATTTAAGACCAACCAAGTGCTGGAAAATTTATGTGACTTGCCAAGGGAGTGAAACCAGAATTTGCAGTTGTTTCTGGAATTTTTCATTAGCAAATAATGCTTGGAAATGCATGAAAAATGTTGTTTTAAGTCTTGTATGACATTCAGTAGTAAACCATTTGAATTGTGGGCAGATTTGGCCAAAATTGTTGACACATAGCTGCGGCAAGGTTGTAATTAGAAAATGCAGAAGTTTGCGACTTGTTTTCCTGATTTGTTTGGGTCAGAGTTTAGTGTGAATGTAGATCATTTCTGATGTATTTTGAAACTGAAAGTTTGTTGGAAACTCATGGTATGAATTGCTGAAGTCACCAAGTTATTTAAAAGTTCCTCCTTTCAAAAACACAGCAAGCAAAAGCTGCTGCATTTTTTCGGTCTTTTCCCTGCCGCATTTCCTTTCCTTTGGTTGCTGGTTAAGTTTTGCCCTTCAGTTTCATGTTTGATCTTGTGTTGGAGGGAATCAATGGAAGGTTGGGTGTTGAGTTTGAGTGTTTAAACATCTAAAATATTTGAGCTGGAAAGTGGATTTCAGATTGCCAAAGTATTCTACATGAATGTCTGTCCAGATTTTCTGTAATGCATTAGCTCCTTCATTGTTCTTGTTTGTTTGGAGTTGAGTTAAGCAGCTTGTTGTTTAGTTAGAGTTAAGATGCTGGTTTGAGAAATATCTAATCAAAGCTTTGTATTTGAATTAAAAATCTGGTTTGCATGATGAAAAGAAATGCCGTGGCTGAAAAATTGTAGAATGCTGCAGAGAAAATTTTCCAGATTTGCATGCTCTCTTTCCTTGAATTGTTGTGTTTACACATAAGAGTTTTATGATTAAAAAGTGGAAAGAATGTTTGGTAATCTTGTCCAAACCTTTGTTGCCTAAGTTGTTCCTTGCGTTTGAACTGCATCAGAAACCCTGAAAGTTGCAATAAAAGAAAACGCAGCATAGCTTCAGCCGAGTTGCATGAGTTTTTGGGGGTGTTTTTCTGCTTTTTTTTTTGTTGCATGTTCAGCTGTGTTGTGTTAATCAAAGTGTTTAGTTGTTAAATGGTGATTGAGTGAGGGTCTTTGGTGGCTTTTGTTTGAAGTTTTCTATGAAACCTGCAGTTGAGAGTTTAAAGTTGCAAAAAGGAAAAATTCTGGATGAATGTTGCAGCAGAAAATTTGCTTCATCATTTTTGCAGGCTCTTTTTGTTTGATTGATTGTTTTGTTGCATTATAAAGTGGGTAGATCAAGTGGTGTTTTGTTATTTTGTGCGAACTGCATTTGTTTTGGTCTAAAAGCCTAAGGAAGTTCACAAATTATGAAGAAGTGCAGCTGGTTTGGCATTGCAGAAATTGTTTGTTGCAGAAATTCTTCTTCTACGTGATTTGCATGCATGGAACTTTCAAAAATTTGCACTTTGGCCCCCAAGTCTCTCCTTGTTCCACTAGAACCCAATCAATTAAATAATTTCATCAATTTGGTCCTTGGCAATTTTAATTTGTGCAACTTCATGGCTTGTTTTGTTTCAATTAACTACCATGTTTTGTCAATTGCACTTAAGTCATGACTTTAGGGGTTTCATGACCGAATGAGCTCGTGTTTGCCTATTTTTTTAATTTCCCTAAAATAAATTGGTTGTTTGACCTTTTCTTGGCTCTTGAGACCTTTGGAGTGCTTAAATGTTTCGATTGAATTCGAATGGTTGACTAAGGTTTGCAATTGGGTCTTTAATTGGTAATTGGGTCCTTGGTGGGTCCTTTTTCTGAAACTTATGCATTATTTGATTTCATTTAAATTGCAATTAGGAGAGATTTGGTGACTTTGTTATACTTTACTATTTGAGGTACCTTGACATTTTTATTGTTTTGAAGCCATTTTTCTTTCATTTGGACACCATTCAAAGGGGCGGTATAATTTCTTTTATCCCTTTTGTTTCTCTCCTATGTGACCCAACGTGTTAAGTGAATTGCATGCCTACTTTGCTTTCCTAGTTTTTTCTCAATTCCTTTTACTTATGTCATTTACTTTCATTTTCATGAAGTTATTCTTTAATGGGGTATGTGTACACCTCTTGGCTTGTAATAGATAGAGCTTTGGCGAGCAATTTGGTCCATTTTCCCCTTCCCCTTTTGTTTTAATTAGTGAATGTAATAATTTCATTAGTTTGGTTGCATGCCTTTGTGTTACGTGTTACTTGCTTTATTAGGTTTTGCATCTAGTCGAGCATGTTAAGTGTTACGTGCTACGTGTTTATGGGCGTTTGGCATGTCTACTAGCTTTCTGTAGTGTAGATGAATGGAATGGATGAATGTACGTTTCCACTAGTCCAACGCTAGTCGGAATTCATAGAATGGGCTAGTCCAACGCTAGACCCTTAGGGATTTCCCCTCGTTAGTACATGTTTGTATGTTCATTACATGTCATGCATTCTTTTTAGTTTTGTCATTTTTTGCATGCCCCCGATTCCCTTTCCCCTCACTTTAGGACTTGCATCTCATGCTAGTTAGGGTACATTTGCCTGAAGAGTCCCCTTCTGATAAGGGAAACGAGCGAGTGTGGCTACTCGATAGCCTTAGCACGCTAGTTCCGCCTTCTAATCAAAAGGGAAAATCGAAGTCGAAAAGTTAGAAGTCAACCCCCGTACCCGACTTGTTGCATTCCCCTAGGGTCATACTTTCATTTTTATCACTTCCATACTCTTTTAATCACATTTTTCTTACATTTCGCAATCCATATTTTTCACTACATCTTTATCATTTATTTACTTTACTTCACAAATGAAATTCAAGTTTCACTTATATATGTACTATTCTATCTTCATTCATTTGCACACACAAACACTTTGATTTTTCATACAAATTCACACATGCACTTTCTTTACACATTCGCACACAAACACTTTGTTTTTACATGAATCTTTTCATACACTTGCACACTTGCACTTGAGTCACCATTTGCATCAATCGACCTCTATGAGGTTTCCCTTTATTGGCCGCCACAATTCATGTGGTTTGGGACCAAAAACCTCACGAGAGACATCATAGAATTTAGGATTGCATTTCTCATTTATTAGTCTTTGTCCAAATTGTAAATACATACTTTGGGTAGGAAAAATTAGGAAAAATAAGGGTTAAATCACGCAACTAGCCTTGGCTAGGTCGAAGGGGTGCCTTGGATTTTTATCCTTGCCTTCCCCTTCGTCAAATGTGACTCCCGAACCTTTTTCTTTGTTTGCGTGGACTAGGAGTCGTTCAAAAGGGTTTCCTACTTTTTTTTCCTTAAAAAATTCAATTTTTTTTTGGGTGACTTGGTACACCCTAATTCTATACCAAGTGGCGACTCCATTTTTCATATAAAAAACCCTTTTTGAACTATTTTTCTTGGGTCAAATCGTCGCATTTTCAAAAGTCCCATTTAGACCCATTTTTATTTTTATCAAAAAATTCACTTTTTCCAAACCAATAAAATCACAAAAACAAGTATTTATTTTTTACCAAAAAGTGGGGCGCGACAGTTCCTCTAGGGCAATAAGCTAGAAAGTTGATGAGAGTTCTCCTTTGTTGGTCAGTCCATCCATCAGCCATAATAGTACATCCAGTTTCTTTCCAAGTTGTACGAAAGCTATTAATGAAATTCTTAACTTGCTCAACATTTTTTGTCAACAAATAGCCACGCAAGTCATAGAAATTAGGCGCTTTGTAACCAGTTCCAAAAGAATAAGCAACATCAAACATTGTTTGATAATATGCAGAGTTTGCTGCATTAAAGGGGATGGAAGCATCAATCATCCACTTCACAACTGCCAAGTCAACCTTCTCTTTAGCTTCTTTGCTTTGCATCACACTTTTGATGGATGGTTGACCTCCTGGAGTAGCTCTTGGCATAAAAAAAGTTCCTATTGTTTTTCCTTTTTTGTGTTGTTGAAGAACTTTTTTTCCTTTTGAAGTGGGAGGTGGTTGAATCTCTTGAATATCATCTGCATCTTGCATGTATACCTCCTCTTCATGTTGTCTTAGATCTTGACCATATAAATCACTTCCCCTTGAGCATTATTTCAAGCTTCTTTTCTTACTTTCCACAGCTTTCAAGTTTTCTAGCATTTCAAATCTGATTTGTTCATCAACCTTCGGACAAGGTGCTGTCTCTCCTTTTATGCCTGCAAGGTGCTGCTTGAATCGATTGATACCACCTCCTCGAATTCTTTTTCCACAATGAATACATACCAAGCACTTAACTTTTTTGTTGGACACAGAATCTTCTCTACAATGAGACCATGCAGGGTCCGTCTTTCCCCTTGTTAGAGGTTGATTTTGAGAATTTGATGTACTAGGTGTTGGTTCTGTACTTGGTGTTTGAGACGGTGTTTCTCCAATAGAGTCCATTACAAATATGAAATATCTGAAAAGTAATAAAACATATCTTTTATTTTAAAAAATTAGCTACAGGTTAAGTTCAATGATGCAATTAAACTACTAGAAACTTGCTCACGTGAAAATAAGGCTGTGTTTTATGCAGAAACAAAAATGCATTATCGAGAATTGGAGTATTTAATTGTGAGCCTATTATAATTGCACTACAATTCTTGTCTCCATGCTTTTTTTTGGGGGGGGGGGGTTGCTAAAATGGTCTTATGATGATAGATTTTTGGCAAATTCAAGCTTCAAAACTTGATTCATTCAACTAGCGAGTCTCAGATGTATGCTACATGGCACATTAGGTGAAGGTTTTCCAAAGGCCCATATGAGTTGAAAAGAGACAACTTTTCAAATATATGTCATGGGTGATTCACTACCAAAGCGAACAAAAGGTCGTAATATGATCTCTATGCTTTGGTTCAATGATATGCAACTTCTTACTATTATTTTGCTTGTGCATTTTGCTATGTTTCTTTCACCTAATGTTAACGTCTGTTTGGAAGTGGAAAAATTCACAAGTTTTTTAAGTTTTGATTGCCCTTATATCTTTTACAAGTATGGTCAGCAACCATACTACTTTTGATTCTAAACATGCAAGCTATACTCCTCTTCTCTTGCTAAGCTTTACTTGCTGGCATGGCCCTAATCTTGTTTGGTTTTGTTGGGAAATTGGATGCAGAGGAAGAAGAAATAAATAATCACCCAAAAAGAAAGAAGAAACAAAATATTGCCTGCGGTCAGAGAATTCGGAGAAACTTAACTCCCTAAGAGAATAGGGAGAGAGAGGAACAAACTCCACAAGAGGATTGAGAGGAACAAAGCTTCCTGGAAGTGGCAACTTCGGTAGCAGCGGTAGCTTCGGTGGCAGCGGCAGCAGCAGCTTCGAGTACCTGGAGCTTCGGTGGCAGCAGCAGCTTCAGTAGCAGCAGCAGTGGTAGCTTCGAGTACCAGGAGCTTCGGTGGCCGCGGCAGCTTCAGTAGCAGCGGCAGCGGCAGCTTCAGTAGCAACGACGGCTTCCTTGAAGAACTTTGAACTTCCAAGTTCCAATTGCTTGCCTCAAACTCTCAGAGTAACTAGCAAAGCAAAGGAAAGAAAAATTGATCAAAGCTGCCAGTGCCGACAAAACAACGGCCGAATGCCTAAATGCTCAAAAAGTTCTCAATTTGCTCTCACTTCTTAGAGAAACAAAGAAGAAAACAATCCCTAAATGCCTAAATCCCCAATGACGGCCAAATGCCCGATTCCCTCTTCATTCTTCAATTTTTCTGATTTTCTCTTTTATTTGGCTAAAAAGACGATAATGCCCATGTAGTATGAATGGTCAAAATAAAAAAAAATTGGATAAAACGGTAACTTCAAAAAAATTACCAAAGCCCACCGGGTTTATCAATAACCGCCGGTTCTAGCGGTTCTATGTTTAAACCGTCTGGGTCGAGAGGGTCCAGGCGGGTTCTTTACAATTCCGATCTAACTAGAAAACCAGCCCGGTTTCATGACCGGGCCACCGGTTTGACCGGTCCGATTGCCGGGCCGGGTTTAATAACTGTGCGCAAAAGTTGGATATTACATGTACTGCTTCTTATGTATGATTATGGATGGATTGAACTGCAACTTGTCATTGCCACTCATTAATAATGTACGTTGCCAGTTTAATGTTGTTTGAATATTCTTGCATGCGATGTGCGAAAATGTTTTGTTATATGTAATGCTATAATTATATGGTCCAATAGAGGAATAGTTGCTGCCTATTGAGCGAATATCACTTAACCTATATTTTTTTACCATTTTTTGCAGATCTTGGAGATAATGAGTTAGTTTATGCTATAATAAATTAACGTGCCATGATTATTGTTTTACTACTTTCACCTCTTTTGAAATTGAATATTTTGCTATTGCCTGGATTTTTCAAGAAATACTATGGCATTGTTAGTTGTTGGAAGATACTTGTATCCATCATCGTTCTTTTTTTTTTTTAATGTATCCATTTTCATTCTTTGACTACACTTTATTACTGCTAAATCTTTTCTTATCAAACTTGCTTAAAATTCAATGCAAAATAGCATAAATTAATAGTTTTATTAGGGAAGAAGTAATTGGAAGCATTTGGATGTGTTAGTTGATAGCCACTAGAGATGTGCTGACCATCCGTTAGACGGTGAAAGGTCTTTAGGAAAAAAAATGTAGATCAACTAATCGGTTTCATACTCAAAAGATATTTGTTTTACTTTAACCCAAACTTTTCATGGAAAATTGATATCTTAATTATTAATTAAAATGAAGTCCACTGACATACATAACACTTCAATGAGATTACAAGGTGCACAAGTTTTAACTTCATGATGATGAAAAATATTAATTTGAAGGTTTCTAATATATGAAAGATTAAATTTACTTGCCCACACATCTTATAGCTTCCGCTCAAATAATGATTACTATTGAAAATGTTACTAATTAACCAAAACAAAAGAGCTACGAATTGTTAACACCAATTTTATTATTTTAAAACTTTTACACTTTCAAGGGATTTGACATACATTTGTGAGAAACCTTAGAATCTCTCTCTCCCTCTCTCTTGGCATTGCTTCCTCTTGGCATTGCTTGTGGATGCCAAAACGAAGGAACAATCTTTATTACTATGCATCCAAACTTTAAAGACCTTCTTAGTGACACCAATTTCTCTGCAGAACCTTTCGAACTTATTTTGTGGATCGTTCTTTTGTAGTTTCCATCCTAACTTCTTGGAAAATGCCAACATGCTTTCTTTTCGTTCTGTTGCAAATTTCGTCGTAAACCTTTTTTGCGGGTTCATCCTCTAGGCCAACTGGGGTGCCTGTTCTATGCACCTACTACCACCAGCATGGCTGTTTGCATTCAAAGTCAATTCTTCCTGGTCGGATCCACGATCGCTGTTGCTCGCTTGTAAGATGACTTTACGATGAAAGTTACGATGGCAGCCGCACACGACACACTTAAGGGCGGTCGAAGCCGCCGGATCTAACATAAACTCTTTGCAACCATCAGTTACATAAGGGCCCTGATTGGTTGCGTAGTTTTTTTGGCACTCCTATAAATGTAACTAGTGTTTTCACCTTCCATTGCTTTCTCCCTTGCTATTTGTTATCTCTTGCTTAGTTTATAATGAATTTATAGGAGAATGTAAAGTACATAGGTTGTTTTAAATCAAAAGAAAAACGACCACCGTGGTCAATGTCACATATTTCCAATTAATTAGATCATTTAGTGTAATGTGAAAAGGAAAGTTTGTAGATACTACAAAAAGAAAAGATCTTTGGAGGAAGTAATTCCGTGGTCCAAACAAGAAAGGTTAACTCATAAATTTATTTGGACATTGATATACAATTTAAGGTTTGGGGACCAATTAGTAATTTTTCTTTTGTGAACACAAACATAATTTGAAAAAACTTTTGATTAAGCAATTTTTTGCTGAATAATTTCTTCAAGCAACTTACGCGATTTATTCAGAAATTGCCATTTGCATTAAATTTCAGTTGCTGTTTTAACTAAAAGTTAATTGGCAAAAAAATTGTGGCAATGAATTATTCAATAACTAGTTAATATTTAATTTTGCCAAGCGTAAAATGGAATACTTAATCCTTGCACGTGTAGAAACACCATTATGTCATTTTAGACTTCCTTTATCTCCGCTAAAGGGTTTAGAATAAGAAAGTAATGATTCACTTTTATAAGAGTAACACTAATAGTTTCATTGTGCAATTTAATTTGATTTGATTGTGATACATGTTCGAATGGATGGCAAAAACTATGTAAATTTTGCTAGTGAAGCAATAATTTTTTAATCCAATAGTTATGCCAATTTCAGTAAAGAATATGGTATAATATTCCCTATACTTTATTTTGAATAAGCATTTCGGTCTAATGAATCAAATTTACAAAAGTTTTACACCGTGAATAAGTAGAAGTCTAGGTTGTGAAAAACATAATTATTTTGTGTTAACCATATAAAATGTGTAAATGGAAGATCTCACATTTATATGCTATAGCGAGAGAGAATTTAACCATTTATATGGATAAATGAAAGATCTTACATTTATATGCTATAATGAGAGAGGATAAAATCCCAATTTTCTTTTGACAAATGGAAAAAAATTTGACAGTATCTTGGAGATAATCCAATTCATAAGAGGTTAAAAGTATAAGATTTTACTTTGTTTTAAAGCTGTATGTCAGAGTTTGCCTAATTTTAGGCCATTTTGAGACGTTTAGTGCGCTTTAAGCAGGACTTACTTGATCAGCTGTAGATCTTTCTTACACAATTTTGTCAAAAAAAAATTAAATTAGAAGATTACCAATGAATAAAACTCGAGAAGTTTAGGCCTTCAGGCAACGAGTTTTATTGCCATTATTGCATCAAGGAGTTAGCTCACAATGAGAAAATTGTACCAGCTTCAAGGCAGATTTCTTCGTTGGCTTCATCGAAGAGTAAATTATACTTTGACTAGTTCTGAGAAAGTGAAAGGACTAAATGATGTGAACCAGATTACACATCTGATCTGTGCAATATTCACGTTTCAAACTCGATGTGATAGGTTATATATGTTACTAACTGTTCATTCACTGATTATTGCAGGTACAACAACACAAACCACAACTAGTTTTGTGTAAACACTGAAGTGGCAAATTCTGATCTCAATACCGTAATAAAGTTGTCTTAATATGGTCTCCTTATTTTGATTTTAGCACTACGACAGTCCCTTATTCTTTCTAAACTGCGACAATTTAATTTTTACCATTGATTTTAATTATTTGTCTTAAATTGCATTTCGAATGGCTGCAGATTTTTGCTTTGATTGAAGAAGGTTTATGAAAAGAAAAGCAAGTCAAGTATCTTGAGCAGAATCTGAAGTCGCTTCCTCCCTGGAGTCTTGTCAGTCTGCATTTTTTTATTTTCCTTCACCGTAATTACTATATGTATTAGAGCAAAAAACAATAAAGTAACACGAAAATGTCTAGGATAGCACAAGAAAATATCTAGCCAATGCCTGACAAGCAAAAGCAGAGCACAAACTTGCAGAAGTTATTAATTATAGTAGAGTTCATAGATTTTGGTCCAATGACAGATGTCAGATCTGACAAACAGTTATGGAATACTATCTATCACATCATCTAGGAAACGTTCCAATGAAGCAGAGGATGATCTTCCTTCATTGAGAGTCAACCTGCTCTTCTCTTTCATTTCCTTCACCTTCTTTCTAATTTCAGTCTCTGGATCCATTAGATGTTTAATAGCCTTTTCAATCACATCTGCAGCCACAATCTCAGTACTTGGCTCGAGAAAATTTTTTTTGAAATCCATTTTGATCTAGACAGCCAACCCCAACTCTTTCAGCATCAGGAAGGCATTCACCTGCTGCTCAGCGTAAAGCGGCCAAGTTGCCATTGGAACGCCATACCAAACGCTCTCCAATGTTGAGTTCCAGCCACAGTGAGACACAAAGCCCCCAACAGCAGGATGGGAGAGAACTGCCGTCTGTGGTGCCCATCCAATAACTTTTCCGACCTCTGCAGTTCGCTGCAAGAACCCTTCTGGCAAGACTTCTTCCAGGTTCTCATAGTCACCTGGAAACTCAAATTTTCCTTTAGGTGGAGGCCTTCTCAATGACCACAGGAATCGATGTCCACTGCACTCGAGTGCATAAGCAATTTCCTTGACTTGGTCACCATCAAAACAGCCTCCACTGCCAAAGCAAAGGAAAACGACAGAACAGTCAGGCTGAAGATCAAGCCATTTCATAATTGTCTCAGTTCCTTGATTTTGGCCATTGCTTCCCTTAAGATTCAATACAGGCCCTACTGCATACACTGGTGGGATGGTTTTATCATCAGTTAAAGCCTGTATTGCATGGGATTCTAACTCGAGGAAAGTGTTGATTATGATTCCTTTGGTATCCCTGTATCTTTTTGCCAGATTGAGGAACAAGTCGCCACCTCCATCCTTGTTAAACAGAACAGATGGAAAAACTTTAACTGGAACAGGATTGATGTATGTTGGAACAGCTAATTCAACTTTACAATTCTCATAATCGGTGACATCATCTTTGAAATCATCTCTCAGACTTTGCAAATGGAATAGAAGGCCAAGCATTGCAGCACCAGATGTATAAAATACATAGGAGGGAACCCCAAATTCGTTGGCGACATCAATCATGGAGCTGCAAAACATGTCTATGACGATTCCAACGAGATCAGAGGACGCAGAATTAGATATTTCAGCAAGGACATCCCTCACACTGCTTTTATGATCTTCAATAAACTGATACATAAACGAACCAAAAGATTCCCTTTGTGAAGAAGACTCTTCTTTTTTGAGCTCAAGAAACCTTATGCGTGAATCTGAAGCTTCCGTCTGCAAATTTGTGTTGCTACCCACCTTTGTTTCAGAAGGAAACTTCATAATCAGAACTGTAACCAATATGTGTTCATTACGATCAATAAGAAGCTTTGCTAGTTCAACAGTTGATCCTAAGTGACTCATCCCTGCTGAAGGAATGAAAACCAGCTCCGTTTTCTTCATTCCTCTCCTCTTTTCTGTTATTAACTTCAGTAAATAAGTTGATTGAAGATGGAAATAAAGAATATATGCTTTCAAGTGTCTATTGGCTTTTTATACAAGTCCATGTGAGTATTTTATTGTTGTACTGCAAGACTTCGCTTTTTATAGTTCTATCAGTCCACAATTGTCCAATGAAAAACTATATTTTGACCTGGTAATAAGCAAGTGAAGTCATGGCACACATCACATGAAATCAAACTGCATAAACAACACTCAAATGAATCCATCACAGAAAACAAAGTGAGATTTGAACCATAAGATCCGTCCATTCTCATCGCCAAAGCGAAAGGTCAGAAAATAAAGTGAAATGATAAAATTTGTCTGTTGTGTTTTGTAAGAGTTGAACCATAAGATCCGTCCAT